TTGATAGGATTAAAGAGATATATTTTTGCAATAGTTATATCAATATTTATTTTTAGTGTGATATTGGAAAAAGAGGGATGTTTTATGGGATGACGGTTTAGAAAATTTAAATTTCTAAAGCAGCTGTGCAAAGTAACAGGGTGGCTACAAAACAAGCATAAACTTGGTATCCCGTGTGAAGATCTTTGGACTTATCTGAAACTATTCTTCCACTTGGCTCTTCATCTTTTCTTTCACTTGTTCACTTACTATTCCCAATCCCTCCAGCGCATCTAAGACAATATTAGGCTGATGCTGATATTACCCAGAATTGTCCCTGTTGCACCTGTGCAGGCAGATACATACAAATACATTAAAGTATAGCTCTGCACTGGGCTCTAGAGACTTCTTTGGACCCGACAATGTTCTTTTCCACAGTTCTTCCTAAACCCTTTGTTTTTACAGAAGCGATTGGCTTAACTGAAAATAAAAGTAATGATTTTTTTCTGGGCTTTAATCCAGCATAGGTTTCTTTTCTCTCTCAGTTGCGCTCAGTCTTTTGAACCCTTCTTTGTCTGTGCCTCTGTGCATTGCTGTATGGCTTGATATGTTCCAGCGTTATTTGTGTCGCAAATGTTTGTTTGTGTTAGTCAAATATAATGACACATAGTACAAGTGCAGAAGCTTTTATCTTGCACAAAGCTGTCTCTTGACAGAGCTATTTTTTGGTGTATTAGGAGACGAAGCTAGATCTGTTTGATGTACAAACAGAAAAGCTCTTGCCTGTTTTCCTGGGCCTTTGAGACCTTACTTTGGCTTCAAACCCACAGGGCATGTCTGAGGCAGTCAGGTCCTAGAAGCTGAAATCCTAGATGCTGTCCACTGTCTCTGTTCCCTCATCCAGACCAGGAGTTAGAAAGGAAAGTGATTCACAACATGGTTATTATGTAAAACATATGCACAAACTGAGGCATGGTGTACGCCGGCGTAATTGTCCATTGCTAACAATGAATGTGCTGGTGCCAAATATGATTAACCTGCAAGCAAAGCCAAGTGCTGCTCTTGTTTTGGAAAGCCTGGTTAAACCTGCCTGCTTGTGTTCAGCACTGCTTTAATTGCACCCGTTGCCGACTTCTATTGTCAATAACAAGCTTTGCTGCTGCTGTAGACAAGGATAAAATGTAAAGGATGCTTCAGTGAGCAAACGCTTGGAAAAGCCGCATGTACCTTGTAGACTCAGGATTTAAACTGCTGAGGAAACTTTATGTCTCTGGCTATGTATTATCACATACAAATATTCTTGGAAACCACATTTAACAGCAGTTAAACCCATATGATGTTCCTGAATTTTCATTTCACTCACTAGTCTGTTTTAATATCATTTCTGGACTTATCAGCAATGTGCTATCAACCATTTATTTTTCTGTATAAGCTGGTAACAAGAATGACTAAAATTTTAAAAGAAAATGGTAGCTTCCTATATATTTTGAGCTATTAATTGAAACTTGTCTTCGCCTATTGTCTGACATAATTGAAATTTTGAATTTAAGAACAATTATTTGACATAAAAAAGTTCATCAGTTCATGCAAATTCTGATTTTTAGCGTGACTTGTAATTGCATACGTGTCAATTCTGCAGAATTCATCTAATGATTACATCATTGGCATAAGAAACAGACTTGAAGTTAACAATGTGATTGCAGACACTATTCAGTATATTGAATATGAATGCAACAGTATTTGATTTCTTTATTTAAAAACAGTATTGCAATTTTGTTTACACATATTCCCTCTCTCTGTGTTCATGGTTTATTGTTGCTACTTGGCATAAGTGTTCTCTATATGAGATCAACAGCAAATGTGTAGTTCCTTAAGAACTTAATGAGATCGTCACTTTCTGAAGACCTTTCCCTCCCCTAAAACTTTACTTACTTCAGTTTTCTTTGGTCCAGGTTGATTTGCTGTATGATGTTGTATGATGTTCTTGTATGAAGCTAATTTTTGCTGGAACTAGGGACTTCCCAATATTGAATACCTGCCCTTTTTTTTTCCATGACAGTAAATTGATCCTTCCCTAGCCCTCAAATTAACAGGGTCTGCTAGACAATGATCCAGATACAGGTTCATATAAATCCTTCTAAAGGTGGAATACTTCCACACTGAAAGCAGCTTGTCTGTAGGTCTTGTGTAAACTTTGGGTTTTTAAAAGTGAGTTATTATTAAGGATCACAACTGTCACAATAGTTCAAAGTACTCAGGGCATCTGAATTTGATCTTTTCTTTCTTAAATTAAAGAGCAAGAGATTCAGATTTTCTACATAGTAATAACTAGCATCAAGAACAAAAAAAAAAAGATAATATCTGTTATTATACTATTATAGAAGACCCTCTAAAAATAAAATAGATTTTTAAAGACTTTTGGGAGTGTGATTCACTTGTCTAAAAGATAGGCATCTAGTGCAATTCTAGATGTCCTTCAAAATCTGAGGCAAATGTCAGGCTCGTACAAATGACAGAGGGGAAACCAATATCCTTCTGAAGCAGCAGCTGAGACCAAGTGATGCCTTAGGACCTCTAATGACACCTCTGTTTGGGAAACTCAGTCTCATCTTTGAGGCTGCCACATGTAAAATATAAATTACGATGCCTATGAACAATGCTGTTTATAAAAGCTCCCTCACTTCTGTTATAGTAGAGACCAGGAGGCTATTCAGGAGACCATTTTTACAAAGAGCATAACATTTCTACATATCCACTCAGGATACAATCTGAAAGTGAAAGCATTTTTTAAAATTAATACAGAGGAATATAGCTTTTGCTGTTGGCTGACTATTAATCATCTCGTCTCCATTGAAATTGTTAAAATTACTAGGAAATAAACTTCCCATGGATGAAGGCTGTGGATTCATAACACTCAGAGCTGCAAAAGATTTATTTCAATGTTTCAGTATCCAGCAGCTGGAAGGCTTCTTTCATGAAAGCAAATTTCAGATGACTTCTCTGGGCTCTGTCCTCAGTAGAGACAGAGAGCAATTGGTCGCTGTCCCATTTACTATCCTGTCTTCAGTTTTCCCTGGGTAATGGTTTCTATATCCCTCATCACTATTTTTGCTTCCTGTGGATTCCCTTCAATTCTTTTCATCTTTCTGAAAACACAATGCCCCTAAAAAGGTGTGGTTCTTCTGTAGGTGCTTCATCATCCCCGAACAATTATAACCCATGTTATTATATGCAGCTATCTGTGATATTTGGAAGGAGAGCTATTTTGCAGCAGGCCCTCACTCCTGGCTCTTCTTTGTGTGTTTGCATTTGATTTTTCCTTCCTCAGAGCAGTATGTAGCGCCCTGTGAGCATTTCTTCTATTTGTGTATATGAAACTATGTGTTTCTTCTCATAAGTCTCCAAAATTTAACCTACAAACTATGCTAAATATACATATATGGAGAGCCTTACCCATCAGCATAGGCAAAGCGAGCAGCTAGCTGACCTGGCCATCGGGACGCCTGCCACCGGCTCCCAGGAGGCTTCAAGGTGCGCGAATCCACGGCGGCTAGCTGCGCTCCAAGAGAAGTTACTCGAGATTTTAAGTCATGTTAAAAAAAAAAAAATCCTGATCATATGAGCTTGATTGAATATTTAGACCCAAATTCATTCCACTTAAATGAGGCATGTTAGGAAGACAACCTCCAAAGAGCGATTCAGTGCGTTTAAGCTCTAAACCGTTTTCAGGAGTTTTCTGTCTTTCAAACAACTCTGCTTCTAGCTGACACATCTAAATGCCTGAAGTTTGGCTGCATCAGTGTAAGCCTCAGTTCTGAACAACGCTCGTTTATGACAGCAGTAATCCTTTCAAGCAGAGCCAGAAGTGCCTTTTCCTTAAACTGTACTTAACACCGCATAGCTAGTACATAGTCGTTCTGAAAAATATGTTATATGCTGATTTTTTTACAATTGTAGCCATTCTTTATACTGACAGTGTTGCAAGACTCCCCTGAATGGCTTGTTAGCCTTGTGGTGCAATGCTTGCTGGCAAAAAGAATTATCTTGCAGGTGAAAAATTAATCTTGCAGAGCAAAAAGTGTCCTTTTTTTTTCCTTTTAATTTTAAAATGTTGTGGTTTTTTGCTGGTTTATTTGTTTATTTGTTTTTTGATATGGAAACAAAAGAGAAAATCACCAAAACAAAATACTACAAGGCGAGGGTGGTACATAGATACATACAGACAGGCTAATTTTGTTCACAAAAAGCGTGATCCTTGCACCATAGTTCTCCTTTTAATGACCGGCCTCATTCATTCACATTGTTGCTTGATAAGAATAGGTTTTCTGCAGTAACATTGACTCACACCTAGTCAGGAGCCTGAGTTTCATTGCAGATTTTCTGCTTCTCAAAAAGTGAAGCCTGATGTTCATTAAAAGCAAACGTGCAGTCTCCTACTGTTAAAACTGCACAAATTCATAAAGGTAATTAAAGTGATTTTTGGAGTTTAGAAGCAACAGGGTTATTTCTAATATTAGGTAGGAAGAGGTGGCCTGTCAAGAGAATATTTGTTTATTCTTTATAGCCTTTCAACTTGATTTTACTAATAATTGCTTGAAACTAGTAGATATTGCATACTAAAAATATACTGAAATATACGGTACAGTGTTAATTCTTGAAAGATATATATTTCTTGAGTGCTCTTCCTTGCAGAAAAAATAGCTAGTCCACCGATATTTTTGTTCAATAACACACACACATATATTTTGAAAATTATATAAGGTAATGCCGTTTCATTAATGTTAAAAGGCCTCTAAGCACTTCCACATGTATTAACACCAATATACAACTTGAAGGAAATAGAGAGCATGCCAGATTAATTCCTCAAACAGCCAAAAAAAAAAAAAAAAGAAAAGAAAAGGAAAAAAACCACTGAAAAACAGCCTAGGAAACAAAAACACACAACTAAGCACCATATGCAAGCAAGATGAAAAATCTCAGTTTGGAACGTGTCCTGAGCAGATGTCTCTATGTACTTCCAGAAAGGCCAAGAGGAAGAGAATTCCCCAGGTACAGGCCTTCAGCTGGGACCTTTTCCTGAAATGGAATGGACTAACCCACAGGTGAGAGTAGTGAATTTAGTTGTAATAAACCCTGAAATAAGGGAGGAAAGGAAATAATTACCCTGACTTCTTTGTACCGTTTTTGTTAATTTTTGCCCATTTTTCTCACCAGTGTTCCCTTAGACTCAGAAGAACCTGGAAAAAGTCAAAAAAAAAAAAATTGTATGTAAATTTATGTGAATGCCTGAACAATTGCCATGATACTGTGGCATACGAGAAATGCTGCATGAGCTTCAGGCTGGTGAAACTGCAAATAAATTGGGCTATCCAGAAAAAAATTTGGCCTAGCCTGACTTGACATCTGAACTAGTCAATGATATTCCCATGACAGTCAATGGAGAGAAAGACTCCTCTTGAATGTCGTTTTTCTAACCTGTTTTGGATGTCTTATTTAGTTTGAGATTAGTCATGTCCTAAATATGACTGTCTCTCTCCATTGTCTAGACTTTCTTTCTGCTCAAATAACTTAGATGTAGATGTCTAAATTTTAGATATCTCATCTGATCAGGAAAATGTCACCTTCATTTTTTTGAAATTTCCTTTTATTATCTACTGGCCTTCCAGAGATACAATCTGTCTTTGAGGTGTGACAAGCAGGACCAGCTTGGGGTATAGGAAAGCAAGACTAAGTATCTTTATGACTAAATTGTGTTGTCGTGATGGATCTGAGCAACCTGGCAGACAAGAGCATTAGTGAAGTTGTTTTTTTTTTTTAACAAAGAGCTTTTCCAGCAGAGGAATTGTCACTGAGACTAGTCTCTGTTGCACCAGAATAGTAACCTCCATAAATTTCTTTTATCAAAATACTCAGTTTAGTTTATGCTGCCTTTGCGTTCTCAGTTTTCGATGTATGACCTCCTGCCATTATGGTAGCAGACATGGGAGAAATGCGATATTTTAGTTGTTTGCCAGCTGGGTTTTCTGGAATCTCTGGAGGAAAAGGAGATAGCTTAAGATTTCAGGATAATGCACACTAATGGGATGTTTCTGGTAAAAATATTCTAAAGTGATATATTGTTGATGTCCATATTGCTATCCTTTGATTTCACAGTTAACTAGACACTGGGATAAGTAGGGCAGATGACAGTTCTGAGCTACCCTTGCACATCTGTCTACCAATCTGATGTCACTTTATAATGGCTTATGTTGTCAAGGTAGTTTTCACAAATATAAGGGCCCAAAATATGTGATGCTTAAGATGGCAATCCAGAATGAATTCAGTAGCCAAAATAGTGGACAAGAAGTCTTAGAGTATTTTTCTGGACACTGTCAATTTCTGCCTCCTGAGATTTTGAAAAGGGGTTTGCTAAAACCTGTGTCTTATTTTAGTTTGAGGTGCACATAACTAATTTTTAGTACTTTTTTGGCAACATCATCAAATAAGAAAAATTAAGCCAATCACTATTTAATTAACTATGTCAGTTAGTCTTGGAAAAATGAATAAAAATCTGATACCTCTTCAATACAGAGTGGTACACAATAGGAAGGAAGTGCTGTTTCCTCCATAACAAGCCCATATGGTAGTATGAGATCCAGCGTCCCTACTATGCAAACAGCACTGAATTTTTAAAAGGATGTTAAAACAACATCTGCTGGTAATAAAATAAGTAAATCGGGAGGCTTGTTGTGTGATAACTTTCACCTAAGAGCCTTAAAAAGGAGACTGAAGAGATCTGTTGGTATATTTTTGAAATTTTAGAGAGATATGGTTTGTGAGTATTATACCATTATTTTTTAAATAGTGCATCTGAGCAAAATGGCTAGATGTCAGTCCTGGGGAAAATATCAGCGATTAACAAGGATTTAGCTAAAAAAGAAAGCATAGGAATAAATTAATGCTAGGAATAAATTAATAATAGTCAGTATAATTTTAAAGCAAAGCAGTTATGTTAAATAAACCTCATTTCATTCTTCCACAATGTGAATTTGCTTAATGAATGACACTAATTATTGTTTAGATTTTTGTAAGGCATTTGATTTAATTTTACTTTATATCTAGTTTAAATAAATAACAATATACTTTATCAAAATAGTGTGTCCTAAATGTTTAAGGACTGATTAGTTGACGTTTCAAAGTAGCAGACAGTGGAAAATGGTCCGTACATGGAATTTTTGAGGGACAGCCTTCCACAGTTTGGAATCTGATGTGGACAACATGTTTCAATATCTGGAAATGCCTTCCAAAATGATTTGGAAGGCAGCATAAATTCATGGATAGTAAAATTTGCAGGTAACACGAGGACTGAAGAAGTGGAAAAAAAGCAGGACACAACAGTTATATAGATCGATCCCGTTACAGTCTAGCTTGTTAAAGACAGTCCATTCAAACGAAATAATTATTGCCCAGAAGAAGAGAATTATACAGCCAGAAGGAAGGAATGACAGCAATAGGAGCACAGACGGGAACCATACACTGGCAATAAGTGACTCTAAGGTTTCAGAGAACAGAATATATGACTCAGCAGGGACTTACAGTTTGGACTTTGAAGGTTAAATAAAGGACTGAAAGCTGCGCATAAAGAGGTGATTTGCTTTATATCTGCAACATTAGTGTGACTGTTCAAACATAGTGCAAAGTTTTGGAGTTATATTTTAAAGGATATTAAATATGTACAGAGGGAGCAGAGAATACAGTGGAGAAATATTCCTGCAGGAAAAGACTTAAAGAACTTAATGACAATGTAGTCCCGTGGGGAGACTGGGAATAAGAGGATTCTTCAGTGTAGCAGAGAAAAGAGAAATACATATCAGGGTGAAGCCAAACAAATGCTAGGTAGGCATTTTTAGCAGTTAGAATGTTGGACAAACTACTAAGAGATGTGGTGGATCTCCATCTCCTTATGTTTTCAAGATTAGATGCTTTTCTGAAATAAATATGCACGTTTTAGTTTAAAACAGATTACTGTCAGTATTATGAGCTGCAGTGTATTAGGCTAACCTCATTGATCTAATGACACTTTCATCCTTAAACTCTGAATCTTTCAGATGCTTGTTCTCTGCTCCAGCAGACTCAGCAAAACACTTCTTCAGTGCTGAAGTGTGGGATTAGAGGATAGAATGATGGAGATTCCACTCACATAACTAAAGCAGTTTATCACCTTCTCCTTCCCCAGCTGCTAGTCTGAATGAAGACATGTGGAGTCATACTACTTGATCTAATGAGAGCATTTACTTCCTTTTAACTTCCTCCCTGTGGATGAATGGAGGCTAAGATTACTTTTCTCATTTTGCATCTTGCTTGGCCAGAGATTAGCAGCTTGCATTTCAATGCAAGCAAGAATCAATTAGACTGCTAGAAGGCACGCTACCTGGAGCTACCTTCTGAAACTTCAGTAGACGTAACTGCTGTGGGCCACTTACTTAAAGAGGTTTCTAGGAGAAAATAAGCAACATCTGCACTCTCTGTTATCCGCAGTCGAGGTCCTTAGACCTCTTTTTCTTGCTTTTGCTGGAGATATGTATTTCTTTTTTTTTTTTCAATTCCATATCATCTAAAGAGCTCAGTATAGCTGTCTTCTGGCCTAAATGTGAGGAGGCTAAAGATTGAGTCCTCCCAAGATGTTGATGTCTGAATTGATTTCCCTTTGTTGCTTTAGTAACTTAGAATTGCTAAAATTTGATTAAAATAGCAAGATCTATTTGAAAAAGTTTCCTTGGCTCCATTGCCAGCAGGTGGAGGGAGGTGATCCTCCCCATCTACTCGGCCCTGATGAGGCCTCACCTGGAGCACGGTGCCCAGTGCTGGGCTCCCCAGTACAAGAGAGACATGAAGCTCCTGAAGCGAGTCGAGTGAAGGGCTCCAAAGATGATGAAGGGACTGGAGCATCTCTCATAGGAGGAAAGGCTGCGAGAGCTGGGCCTGTTCAGCCTGGAGGAGAGAAGACTGAGGGGGGATCTAATCAATGTGTACAAGCATCTGGAGGGTGTCAAGAGGATGAGGCCAGTCTCTTCTCCGTGGTGCCCAGTGACAGAATAAGAGGCAACAGGCACAAACTGAAATGCAGGAAGTTTCATCTGAGTCTGAGGAAAAACTTATTTCCTGTGAGGGTGACTGAGCCCTGGAACAGGTTACCCAGAGTGGTTGTGGAGTCTCCTTCCTTAGAGGTGTTCAAAAGCTTCCTGAACACAATCCTAGGCAATGTGCTCTAGATGACCCTGCTGGAGCAGGGTGGTTGGATTAGATGATCTCCAGAGGTCCCTTCCAGCCTCAACTGTTCTGTGGTTCTGTGTGACTCTGAGAGTTTGATGTTCTTCCAGTGCTATGTGGCTGCCTCCAACCTACATTTTTGTGATTCTCTGTATAACTGGCTGAAGTTTGGGTGGTCTTTAAAATCAAACTCTAGACTTAAGATATGTTGTTTCTATTCCTCGCTTTGCTACTAGTATCTTGAGTCATTTTGGGCAACTTAATTCTCTTTGCCTTTGTATTTTTACCTGTAAAAGGGAGATAACATTTTTCTTTCTTTTAGAAAGTGTTTTGAGATGAAATGAAAGTGTAGCGTTGCCTCAAGAGTCTTTACAATTTTTTATCTGTTTTACATATAACTAACTTACTATGGTACAACCATTACACATACTTTCAGAGCACTGAATGATCTGTTCTCATTCAACAAATACTTGGAGATATATCATACTTGGAGGTATGAAGAAACTGAGGCCCTTAATCTTTTACTACCGTGTAGTTGAACTGATCAACCCATAGAGAAAGTATGATTATAATTAGCTATGTTTTCCCTCCTCCCTTGGCTCCCTCATTTGAATTGCATCCATAATGCATAAAATACCTGCTTTACTTTTAAGGCGCTCCAAAGTTTCTTCCCGTCATAATTGCCCTATATCATTCAGTGGCAGAAATTGTCTCTTGTTTCCAGTTGGGCAAAGATGCAAGGGCCCATTGCTCAGTTGTGAAATTTTGTAAAATTCTGTGAATTGTGAAACTGTGAAATTTGTTATGTTTTCCAGTAAAATCCTTCTTTTTCTTTAAGTTCTATAAAGCATTC